TGTGGTCGGTACGTAGGGTTGTTTTTCTGCCTTCAATTGTGTGGAGAAAATGTCTGACGGCTTGGTAGGCCGCAAGAAGTTCCCGGTCATAAGTGCTGTAGCGTGTTTGGGAGGGTAATAACTTACGAGAGAAAAATCCCAACGGCTGCCAGCTCCCGTCTGAAAATTGCTCCAGGACCGCTCCCATTGCCGTACTGGATGCGTCGGTGCTCAACCTCAAGGGAGTGTCGTGCCTCGGGTGTGCCAGCGTGATCGTGCCTGCCAACGCTTGTTTGCATTTTTCGAAAGCTTCGCGAGTGTCCGAGGTCCAGACTAGTGGGCCGTCTTTTTTTCGAACTGTGGACGCGAGCGTGTACAGCGGGGCTTGTAGTTGGGCGGCGTGTGGGATGAACCGGTGGTAAAAATTGACGGAACCTAGCAACCTCTGAAGTCCCTTCTTGGTTGCCGGAAGTGGCCACTTGTGGATATCGGAAACTCGTTCTGGCAGCGGCTTGCATCCGTGCTGATTTACTAAGTGGCCGAGAAAGGTGAGCTCCGAAACGCCGAACACGCACTTCCCCGGATTTATAGCGACACCGGCGCGTTGCAAACGTTGGAGTGTTTCGCGCACGTTGGCCACATGTTCGTCGGCGTTGACGGAAGCGATTAATACATCATCGACGTAAGCAAAAACGAAGTCCAAACCCTGGATGACGCCGTTTATGAAACGCTGGAACGTCTGTGCCGCGTTCTTGAGGCCAAAGCACATGACAGGAAATTCATACAAACCAAACGGCGTCGTGACCGCGGTCTTTGGAATGTCATCCTTGGCGATGGGAATTTGATGGTAAGCACGCACAAGGTCGAGTTTGGAAAAAATTGTTCGACCCGCCAAGTTGGCGGCAAAATCGTGGATATGAGGTAGCGGGTACCTGTCTGGCTTCGTGACCGCGTTTACGCGCCGATAATCGCCGCAGGGGCGAAAAGTGCCATCTTTCTTGGCCACGAGCAGCAAGGGACTGGCCCAAGGACTGTCCGAAGGTCGACATATACCTTTCTGGCACATGTATGCAAATTCATTTTTCGCGATGGTGTACTGGTGAGGTGGCAGGCGGCGTGGACGCGCGAATAACGGTGGTCCGGTTGTGTCCAACGTGTGCTCCGTAGTGTGAGTGAACTTACTCGGGACCGGCGATTCACGCGTAACTGCCGGGAACTCGGCGATAATGTCCGTCCAGCGCCGTGGGTGAACTACCGAAAAAATGACTGGAACCTGTACGTTTGCGACGCTGGTTTTAATAGCGGTGGACGAGTCCTGGTCGATGAGGCGGCTGTTACGTACGTCAAGTAACAAACCGTAATATTTCAAAAAATCGGCACCAATAATAGCACGCGAGACGTCTGCCATCTCGAAACGCCACGGGAAAGAGCGTGCGAGGCCGATGTTGAGACGTAGAATTTTGGGTCCGTACGTACGGATTCGAGTGCCGTTGGCAGCTGTGAGGACCAAATCCGACGAGGCGCGATGCCCGGCGACAGGTGGGATGACCGAGATGTCGGCTCCCGAGTCAATTAAAAACTGTCGGCCGGAGCGTGTGTCGGTGACGAACACGCGGGAGCTGTGGTTCGCGGCGGTGGACGTGGTTGCGACCGCCGCGCTTGCTAGTTTTCCGACTTAAAAGTACACGGCGACTTGCAATGCCTAGCGTCGGCGCCGTATTGATTATGATAACTGCACCACTTAGAGTTGTTTTGCGTGCGCGGTTTTGAACGGCTCCGATTGCGACTGTACCCGGAATTGTTACGAGACTGCTGGGCGGTGATCAGGTTGGAGATTTGGGTAGTCAACGAGAGTATGGCAGCCTCTATGGCGCGGAGACGGTCGTCCGAGCTACTCGATTGCACCGCGAAGACGTCGCGCGAGGTACTGGCCTCCAACACGCGATCCGCACGTTCGGCGATATCGGTCAACGTTCCGTCGAGGCCGGAGACTATTGCGCGAATGTTTGACGGTAACTTTTGTAGCCAGAACTCCCTTAGCGCAGTATCGTCCAACGAATTCGGAAGCACAGCTCTCATGTCTCGGAGCATTTGAGAGGGTCTCCGATCGCCCATCCCGCCCGGTTCAACGATGGTGCGAAAACGAGTCGACGGCGGCACCGAAAACGTGCTGATGAGACGATCCTTTAGACTAGCGTAGGAAGTGTTGGGACCGATCAGGTCGCTTACCGCCTTGACCGCCTCCTCGTTCAGAGCGGCGAGCACGTGGTTTACCCGCGGGGTGTCGGCGCGGATTCTTTGGTTGGCGAATACGGCATCCGCGTGTAGGAACCACTCGTGCGGGGAGTAAGTCCAAAAATTTGGTAGTCGGGGCACGTGGGAAACACTGTCAACCGTGGTCGAAACGTTCGCGGGCGAGGACGGTGATGGCTGACCGAGCGCACCAGACGGATTTTGCGAGACTTCGTCGTCAACCATATCGAACTTTTCGGTATACTTGATAGAACTTTGCGCAGTTGCGTGTATAACAGAAAATTGAGAATTTTGAAAAACACGAGGTCACCAATGCGGCAGTCTAAGCACTTTTCCTGCGGCAACGGTATTTGAGGTTAGGCGGAAGAACTGAGAATGCCGACGTATTTTAAATAATTGTTTAATTTTATTTTATTAAAGTAACATGTATAAATGTTGAATGCTAATGACAAGTATGAGTTGGTATAGTAAAAATAAATGACACAGAAATTCTTTATTAAGATCGCGGACAATGGCGAGCGCGGAACAGCGTGAATGTAACGGTAGACGGAGCGGCGTGAACGTAACGTAAGACGGCACCGTGAGAGACTGCTGCAGTGAGTGTGGTGACGACGCTACGACCGCTGGGGAACAGATGACAGCATGTGGGACAACCGTCGCCACAGTGGTAATGATAAGACCGACCACATGGTTGATGATAAAATTTACTATCACAAATATTGTAAATTTAATTTGAATGGAGGCAGAATTAAATTATATCATTTTGTTCTATAGATAACCTGATATGTTTAAAAAAAAACCGAAGTGTTTCATTTCACCTCCCAGTTCCAAGTCACCTCGATTGACGGTACTTATTATATTATTCAAAGCTAAATAAAAAAAAATTTAACAAACTAAACAATATAGCATTTATGTCATAGAAACATACTTTTAATTACTAGTGAAGCCGCGATCACACGATAATAGAAAAAATGCGATGGTTTCTATGCTAGTTAACCGCAGATAGCATGATAGTAACTATCGTGGAGTTCGTACTGTTTACATAATATAGAGAAGTAGGTAGGTAGAACAAGCGGCGGGCAAGGAAGATTATCCCATGGCTCAAGATTTGCCTATATGTTCCTCCTAATGTTTGAACAATCCCGGGAAAAATGTATTTCCCAAATTTCAGTTTCCTATGTAATATCTTTCCAGTGAAATATTTTCCTTAATTTTAACTTTCTGTCTAATACATTTCCAGTTAAAAACTGTCCTGAATTAAATTTTTTGTGTTATAGCTTTCCAGTTAAATACTCTCCTGAAAAATATTTTCCTATGTAATTCATTCCAGTTCAGTACTTTCTTAAGAAATATTTTCCCAAAAAAATATTTCCTGAACTTAATTTTCCCACGTAATATCGTTCCATAGAATAATTTCCCGAAATTTATTTTCCTAAATAATATTTTCCCCAAAATATCTTTCCCGAATATCAGTTTCCTGTGTAATAATTTCCATGGTTATACTTAACTGTATATTATTGTTCCTGTTATATGTATTTCCGGCTTTTACTTTCCCGATTTATGCAGCAACCCACTAAATGCATGTAATCAATGCTGAAATCATCTACTATTTGGATCGTGCTGGCAAAAATCTTAAACCATTTAAAAACAATTTACCTGGTGAAGTTTTGTATAAGAATTTTATTCAAAGACACAATAAAGCTCTAAAGATACGACATGGTCAAAATATAAAACGTTCACTAGCTGCAGTGTCAAGAACAGTAGTTAATGAATATTTTGATAACTTGGAAATTTCTCTCTCAGGTATACCTCCACAAAATATCATTAATTACGATGAAACAAATTTTGTTGATGATCCTGGTCGAATTAAAGTCCTAGTAAGAAAAACCTCGAAACATGCTGACAATATAATGGATTCAACAAAGTCAGCAACCTCAGTGATGTTTTCTGTTGATGACGCTGGTTCAATGTTACCAATTTATGTTGTATATAAATCCACACAGTTATGGGATTCATGGACTACTGAAGGTCCGGAAAAATGCAGGTCTAATCGAACGCCATCTGGGTGGTTCAACAAAAGTTTTTTTGAAGATTGGTTCATAACTGTTGTTATACCCCATTTTCGACGGTTGGAAGGTAACAAAGTAGTTATTGGTAATAACCTAGCAAGTCATATGTCAATGAAAATTATCCAGTTGTGTAAAGAAAATGATATAAAATTTATATTTTTACCACCCAATAGCACCCATTCGACACAACCATTAGACGTGTCTTGCTTTATGCCAATTAAAATAGCATGGCGAAAAGTTTTAAAAGCTTATAAAAGATTTAGGAGAGGTACAATTCAAAAAGAGAATTTTCCTAGATTACTTAAAAAAACGTTGGAAAATCTTTCAGTTTCACAAATTACCAATATAAAAGCAGGGTTTGAAGCAACAGGAATATATCCCATTGACAGAGAAAAAGTATTAAAAAGATTGCCTGTTGAAGATTTGATTTCTATAAACAGTTCTGCATCCATAATAGTTCCTGAAGCTCTACATAATATTATCAAAGAAACTAGGTTTGGAAAAGTAAGTGAAAAAGTCAATAAGAGAAAAAAATATAATATTAAAGCAGGATGCAGTGTGACAGAAGAAAGCATATTATTTAATAATGAATACACTATAGAAGATGCCATAAATACAAATACAAAAGAAAAAAAGAAAGAAAAATAAATAAATACTGCTAAAAAAATTGAAAATAATGTATTAATTGAAGGTGAAAGAATGTTAATAGTTAATGAAACTGAAATTGATTATAGTGATCAAAATATATTAAACGAGTATGATTACATGATAGTAACTGATGAGACTGAATTTAGTAATAACATTGTACAAAATATATTTAATGATAATGATGGTGATATTATAGAGGAGACTGAATATAATAATATAAATAAGACAGACAAATACTCTACACCAACTAACTATAAGACTGAAGAAAAAAAAAAATCTGATGATATAATTGTTAATGATTTTGTTATGGTCAAATATTAAATAATTAAAAAAAACATTGAAACGTTTATAGGCTAAGTGACTGAAATTGAAGAAAATGAATATACTGTAATAATCCTCATTATTAGTATATAAATAATATGTATAATATTATATATTTACTGACATTCGTCGACTTTGCTAAAAGTCCATATTATAGGAAAGCGTGTGCACAGATCAAAGGTGAAGACTAGAAATAGCGTACAGATTTAGATTGTACGGACGTCATCATAACAAGGTGCCTCCGCGTAGCATAAATAGGAAAGTCATAGACAAACTCGGGGAGTCGAATACAAGAAACGACGAGAGTGTGTACTTCTAAATTCAGGACGGACGTTTGTTATGATTTAATAAAAATACTTTGATTATACGAGCATTTGTGTATCTTTAATAAACTACTAATTCTATTTCGAGTGCTGAAGCGGACACGTTACATCATTTTGGTGGCAGCGGTGTGTCGAATGTTTTAAGCTACAAATTGAATTAGAACAATACAACGTCATTCAAAATCCGAATTCAACGAAATCAAGAAGAGAAAAATCTTTAATTGAATCAACTGCAATCAACAATACAATTCAACGTTGTAATGGGATTACGTAATATCATGTATTTGCTCATAAAAACAACCAGGAATGCGACCACACCCAAAAGTGTTTTCGACTAAGAATACCACTTTCATAGTCGTGAGGTCCATATCAAGGACGACTGTACACACGCCGCTCACTTCAAAGGACGCCGCCACCATATATATAGGGGACAACGAGACAGCCTGAGTTAGATGTACCAGGGCCGCCAAGACCGAGCGGGCCGCTTAGCCACCAGCCATTACACACAACTTACACGGAGATTATCGACTACTACAACGAGTCAACTCACGACGCTGCAATTCACCACGACTATATTAATTATTATTGGTTTTAATATTGATTTATATTTAAATTGACTACATTTTATTGTAAAAGTGCAACAAGCTTTTGGATCCCTGAAGGGCCGCATGTAACACTGGCGCAGTCGGTACTGGATTCTACAATTGAGGCAACCGTCAAAGGCTACCGTCAACAAAGAAGAACTGTACACTCTTCCGAGAAGACAACTCCAAGAAGAACCATCAAAAACAAATAAGTCACGTCGCAGTACCAACAAATCCATCAGCAAGTCATCAGCAACCAGGAACACAGCATTATTGTGAGTGAATAATTATTTAAATTTGTTACATAGACGTATGCAACATAATTAGGACATATTAGATAATTATAAGTAGTTGACTATAAGTATAATGGTGTAAACCGTTTTAAATTTTATTGATTATTATTGAAGTTTTATTGAATTTATTGAGGGCATATTTATTGATTATTGAAGTTCATTATTGAGGGCATGTTTTATTGAAGTTATTATTGATTATTATTGAAGTTTATTGATTTATTGAGGGCATTTTTATTTTTGAAGTAGTATTGAAGTTTATTGAATTTATTAGAGGGCATATTATTGAAGTTATTATTGTATTTATAGGGCATTGTTTATTATTATTATTATGAGTATTAAACGTATTAAATAGGTAGCTAAGTAATTTATGGACAAAGAAGGTACATCTCCCTTGAAAGTAATTAATTCATTGTATGACACTAGTGTAGTAGAAGAAGCCTAGTTAGAAGCGCAGTTATTAGCCCAGACAGAAGCCCAAGCCCAGTTTGAAGCCCAACAGAAAGCCTAGTTGAATATTATAGTAGATACCCAGTTAGGAGATAGCGCAAGTAGAAACCGAAGTCCTGGAGTAATCACACGTAGCCAAGTTACAGATAGTTTTGAACATCAGTCATTAGTATTTTTACCTATAACACGCACTAAAAAAATGACAGTAACCATAAAATTAGAAGACGCTTTTAAATTAATTCCACTATGCACAGGAATAGACGATATCTATCAATTCATAAATGCATGGGATATGGCAGTAAGTTTAGTCGACACAAACAGTGCACCAACGATAGTAAAATATATTACCACACGTTTAACGGGTAGAGCATTAGAAATGATTAAATACAAAAATGTATCGAAATGGTAGTTTATAATAAATTATTTAACAGATGCATTTGAGGCAACAACCACGGCATCGTCGTTACAACTTCAATTAAATTCGATTAGAATGTATCACAATGAGGATGCAAATGATTATTGTCATAGAGTAGAGAAACTATATTATCAGTTATGTACCTTAAGTACATTAGGCAAAGAAGCTGCAGAAGCAAAAATTATATATGATATATTAAGGGAACAAACTCTAGCGATATTTATTAAAGGATTAGTAGAACCGATTAAAACAATAGTAAAATTTCGTAATCCCAAAACCCTGGAGATCGCGAAACAACTTGCTATGTCGGAACAGGTGGAACTAAGATTAGAACAGGAGAATAGGAACCATTATTCGAATATTCATTCACAAAATTATAACCAGCGCAGATCGAATTACGAAAATAGGAACAACGAAAACATTAGACCAAATAACCCTGTAAGGACAAATAATTATCCACGAGCAAACAATTTTTCTCAACCAATCAATAGGCCAGCAATAAAATGCTATAATTGTAATGGTAATCATTATGCATCTCAATGTAGGAATAATACGAGACCTAGTTATGCGAGCAATGGCAATAACAATCGTCCACCTGATAGGAATAGTTTTACGCAACCACCTACAAATTATAATATACAGGTAGTTACTTGTTCATACTGTAATCGAACTGGTCATAATATCGACTCGTGTTATAAAAAGAGAAACGATGAGAGTAGAAACGTTAATAATTCGGAAAACGAAAACGTGTCGAACGAGAGGCGCGGTACTCGTACGATAAACCAGATTATCGTGGAACAACCGACTCACGAATATTCCACATATTCTCAACCTTAGAAAATAATCATATAACATTTAATTCATTCGCCGCTAACACAAATCGATTACAAATACGTCACAAACCCGGAGTTCTAAATTCAAATGTAGATACTTTCACATGCATATATTCAATTCAGGAAATAAAAAACAAATCATACGAACAATATATCGAAAAGTTAGGAACACAAATTATCACAAATATTAATGTAAAAGAAACTATAGGTACACTAATAGATTCACCAAAAAAATATAATATAGTATCAGAAATTGCCAAGCAATATAATTTTAGAACAGGAACGAATTATCAGTTAAAAAAAACAATTTGGAAACGGTACAATATTGCCGACTAGTAAAGTAATAGGAGACACACCCTATTTCAAACAAGAAAACAGGTTTATAATATTCTTAGTAACGAAAAATAAAGACCGACAGAAGGCCACTTACGAAAGCATACATGTATCACTAATAAATTTAAAACCATTTTGTAAGGAAAACAATCTGAGTAAATTAGCCATGGGCAAGATAGGCGATCACGATCACGATGATTTAGAATGGGAAAAAATAAGGTCAATGTTACAATACATATTTCGCGAAACAAATATAGAAATAATTATATGCGCAAATGTAGAATCAAGTGAAGAAGAAAAAGCAGTCATTTTATCACAATTTCACGACTCAAAACTAGGCGAACATTTAGGTGTGAATAAAACCATTAAGCGCATTAAAAAACAATTCTTATGGAAGGGTATGAAAGAAGACGTTAGAAAATATATAAAGAATTGTGCGTCATGTCAGGTTAATAAGGTATCAAATCGGCACATAAAACAATCAATGACTATTACATCCATTTCGTCTAAACCATTCGAAAAAATATTTATGGATATAGTAGGGCCCTTGCCGATTATACTGTCCAATAATGTATACATTTTAACGATGGAGGACGATTTGACACGTTACACTTTAGGAATTCCACTTCCTGACCAGAAGGCAAATACTGTTGAGGAAGCTTTTGTTACACACTTCTTATGTGTACACGGTATACCAAAAACAATACTCACGGATCAAGGAACTAATTTCCTCTCGAAAACGTTTGCAAATGTTTGTAAAATATTAAAAATAGAAAAGGTTAACACAAGTTCATTCAGACCGCAGGGTAACCCAGTAGAACGCTCTCATAGGACTTTAGCCAAGTACTTACGGCATTATGTAGATAAGAATTTAAATAATTGGAATAATTTATTACCCTTTACATTCTTTGTATATAATTCGACAGTATACATACTTCTACTAATTTTCAACCATACGCATTAGTCTATGGACGTACGTTGGAGGTACCGATTAGATTAAAAGCCGAACCTGAACCACGTTACAATTACGACGATTATATATTCGAAAAAAAAAAAAAAGAAAATATGCAAATTTCGCATAAGATAGCTAGATATCATTGAATTAAAAATAAAATAAAAAGTAAGGAACGTTATGATAAAAATGAAAATCCACAAGAACTATACGTTAATGATTTAGTACTATTAAAAGATAATAATCATAGAACGAAACTCGACCCAATCTGGCTAGGACCGTACGAGGTCACAGCAGTTATAGGGAACGAGAATGTAGCTATACAGCGAGGCTGCAAGGTCATTACTGTACATAGAAATAACGTAAAAAATATTATAATGACGCACAAGTTAATTAATTAAAAAAAAATAGCAATAATAAAAATAATAAGTATATAGCAATATTAAGTTAGAATAATTATATTAATTTTAGGAATAGAAATAGAACATTCATTTTGAAATTGGAGAAAGAAATAACAAGCGCAAACCACAATACAACAAATTTAGGCATAGGACAATTTTCAAACTGTTTTATAGAGCACATAACTAGAGCCAATAATGAATTAACCATACCATACACCGAAGTGGAATTAAAAGAGATTCCCGTAACATAAAAACGTTTCTGCAAGATATGACAGAAAACAGAATGGAAGATTTGGAAAAAATTAACTGTCAGGACCTAATAGATTGTATCGACATTATTCCGGAACCAGAAGACCTACTATATTATAAAAACTTATTCTCAGAAAATAATTAATAACCCAATGTAATTTTATCCCAATAAAAGGTGATTCAAATAAAGATTAAAAACTGATTTATTAGACAAAATATATATGATAATTAACATCATGAAAATTAGTTCAGTCTAATAAACAGTTTTTCCTTTAAATTAATTAGTCGGAATCATCTTCATCATCCAGTAACAATATACCAGATACGACATGGTCCGGTGGAGGGGTAAACCCCTCTGGCCATTCTATCACCATCGTTATGTCTGGACATCGAGCTAATAAAAAAATAATGATAAAAAAAAAAATGCATTAAATAAATTCATAAGAAAAAAAAAATATATACGCAAGATTTCGAATGACGTAGATACGAATCCGGGTTTCATCAGGTTTTCTGGGATCCATGTTTTCTTTATATAATAAATCTAATCAAAAAAATACAATAAAATAATAACAAAAAATAAATACAATAAAAAATAAATTTTAATTTTAGGGACAGACAAAGAAATTACAAACAAATTTACAAATTACCCACAAATACCTTATGTAAACGGTTAATAGATTATATGAAACTCTTACATGATGCTAGAGATATTTTGGATTATATAAGATGGTATTATTTTATAAGATTATAATAAGATAGTTAGTTTAATATGAATATACTTTATACTTTTAGATTGGTGATGGTGACGAGTTTTCTAGTCAATACTGTCGACTCTGACGAAATAAATACATCAGAGTACTTTTCGTATAGGCCTTATGGAGTTGGCAGGGGAATACAATATGAAGGGTTGGTTCCAGTTAGATTAATAGGGGCTCAATACAATCTTGTAATGTTTTACTCATTAAAAGAATATAACGCGAAATATGAACTATTGGGGGAAAAAATAAAAAATATAACAAATTTATGTACTGACCAGAAATACCAAGATTTATGTGAAAAATATCAAATAGTAATTACAGATTTATATAATGAAATAACTAAACAAAAAGAACGTACATATATTTCACTAGGAAGTACTATAGAGGAAGATAAACATAGAAAGAAAAGAGGACTAATAAACATAATAGGTAACACCATGCATACATTATTTGGCGTATGTGATGACAAATGCACTAAGAAAACACGAGAAGCTATACAAAAAACGGAAGAATCAGGAACTAACATATTACACATAATGGAAACCCAAACCACTGTAGTAAAATCAACAATAAGAAGTATTGGTAATACAATAAATCAAACCGAACAATTATACAATAATATTACGGAAAAGGAACAACAACTATGCGAAAAAATGTCAAAAATACAAAACAAAACAAATGATATATTAGATTTACTAATGAAAAATGAAATACATAATTTATACACAATAATTATAAATCAATATTCCTACGAAACAGAAACATTGTGACAAATAGTAACCGCCGCTAGAGAAGGTATGATACACCCAGGTCTTATGACACCGCAAGAACTAGCATCAACATTAAAAACAATAGAACAAAATATAAAGAAAATATACAGTATTCCGATGGGAACAAGGAGATGGGAACTAAATGAATTTCAAAAAATTACAAAAATAAGAATCTACTATTCGAACGACAGATTAGTATTTGATATAGTAATACCATTGATTATTGACACTGAACTTTCATTATACAGGTTAACACCAATACCAATGCGTCATAAGCAAGATAATTCTAGTGGATGGTACCTAACGGACATTACTTACAATAATATTGCTGTAACCAAAGGTTATAAAAGGTATACCACATACACAGATCAACAATTAAACGAATGTAAGGAAACTTCAACATATAGAATATGTAATACACCACAACCTATACAGGACACCAACGAACGCCAACCATGCGAAGTGCAAAACTTCATAACATCTGAAACAATTTTAAGAGAAGCATATACCAAAAATGACGAAACTGTCGGAGAAAACGAAAAAAATCGGCAAAAAAGTCCGGCCGGTAGCGTATTTTGCGATCGACATTGCGACGGCTACAGACGGCGCACGGATATAAAACGCCCACCGGCGGCTTCGAGAGATCGCGAGCCACGCGAATCGAGTATAAAAAAGGGCGAAAACGATTGAAAACGGTCGAAATAGAGTGAAAAGAGTAAATTTTCGAAAATTTCAAAAATCGGTGAAATGATAAGAAAAGAAGTGATAACGCGGCCGCGGAGACGGAATTTTCTGATTGGCGTTCCTTATTTGCTGCGTCGCGCCTGTCGGACAAAACAGGGGACTATTTGCGTTTTATAATATAAGAGACTAGATTCGGGTGCTTGTCATCCCGCCTACGGCGGAAAGACTATGTGGGCGGTGGTGCATCTTTGTCGCTTCGCCTCGAGCTGGGTTTTTTGATCCGGCCTGCGGCGGGAACGCGGGGTCGTCGGGTATTGTGTTTTGTCGTGTTGGCAGCACTGGTTAAGCGGTAATTTTTGAACTTGGAAGAGTGTCTAGTCGTAAGTCAGGCGATTCAAGTCGATCGTACGACACAACCAGCCAGGTAGGCCATCCGAGGATCGCAGACGATGCCCCGGGCGTGTATGTCCGGTTCTAGAGTGTGTGTGTTGAAATCGGAAATTCGGTTTCTGAGTTTGAGTGTCTAGCTATCAGTCATCTCGGGTGAAAGACGATTCCCGAACGGACAATCCGCCTGTGGCGGATCGGATGCAGTGGGGGTGTAAGTCGCTCGTATGCAAGTAGCTAGTCAGGTAGGCATGCCCCGGGCGTGTATGTCCGGTTCTTGAGTGTGTGTGTTGAAATCGGAAATTCGGATTCAGAGTTTACGTGTCTAGCTATCAGTCATCTCGGGTGAAAGTCGATTCCCGAACGGACAATCCGCCTACAGCGAAAAGTGCTCGAAACGGCCGTTCAAATCTGAAAAAGTATACAGGAGGTAACAAAATTGTATTTTTTGATGATTATAGAGAACAGTTATCAGGTGTAGGCTTCATTGTAATCAATGTAATCATTGTTATGTTTTCGCGGTTATAACAAATAAGTCGACAAAATCTAATTTTCTGATTGGCTGCTATTTTTAACGCGTCAAGAAACATCTAATGCATTGCCAGCTGCATGTTGTTTGGTTTTTATCAATCATTTCTCAAAACATCTTTGAAGTGAGTACACGTCGGTTATAGTATTAAAATAATATTTCTTAGGTTATGTATCGAACAATTTCATACGTATTTGAATAAAACAATTTTTTTTTTTTTTTAAATCTATCATGCCGAAAGACAGTGTAAGTCATAGTTACAACGGCCGTGGTATGCTGGTGTACAATGCACCCGTGTACCACAATGCTGTCCTCGTGCGGCGTCCGGGAGGAAACGCCCGACGTAAGTATCTAATAAAAAAAAGCACATGCGTATTGCATAAGCCAAGTATACACTAAACATGATTTGTACGTTTCAGGATGTTACAGGTGCCAACAGGTGGGTCACCTGGCGAGGAATTGTGGTAAGTTTGTCCTATTATTTATTTTTTCACGTGCTAAGCTATTGTAAATTTTATTAGACTCCCCCTGCGTGGTACCTGCGGCATCGCCGGTTGCGTCCTCGTCGGGGCCGCAGCAGCAACAACAACAGCAGCAACCGCAACGGCAGCGGCCACCGCAACAGCAGCAGCGAGGGTCGAGGCGGCGGGGCCGTGGGTTAAGGTAAGATCGCAAATACCAAAAGATGTCAATCATCATCAAAAACATAAAATGTATTGTTTTCAGTAGTTTTGTCGGTCAAACGCCGAGGGTGGTGGAGGAGCCGGCCGCAGCCTCGACTCCAAAATCGACGGGTGAGGAGGTGGGGTTCACGACCGCCTCCTCAACGCCTGTAACTCCAACGTATGAATAGTCAATATTATATAAATAAAAATATTAAAAAATATAATTATATACATCATTTTCAGTGTGATCGGGTCGGAAGGCAGTGGGAGGTGGGAGGTCATGGAGGATGGTAAGTTTCAATTGGACGATTTTGTCTACTTCATAATTTATTTAACAATTGTATTTTTTAAAATATTTTTCAGAATGAATAAAGCACCATTTCATGTAACTTTTATTGTTATTTATTATTTCCTTGTTCCCAATTGTTTTATGAACTGTAACTGTAACGTTTGTCAATTGACAATTGTGTGTGAGGTGTGAGATTATATATTTTAGTAGTTGGTTAAAACAGTAATATATTATTAGTAATAATAAAATAGGTAAGTGATGTGTGTTGCTGGTTTGAAATGTAGGTGTTGAAAACCTTATCTTGATTTTATTCATCAGTATAGAGTTTACTTCACAAAATGTGCTTAAAGAAAATTAATCATTATAACTGTAGTCCACTGGTGTTTAAATTTAGTAGTTTTATAAAATCCCACATTGTAATGACATTGTCGGGCAAGTGTTGTAATCAATTGAAAATATTTGTATAGCGTACATTATTGTTAATACTGACTGATTGTTTGATAAAACTTCGTTGTTATCATATCTTATCATGTACCTTTATATCAGTTTATTAACCATGTTATATTTTAAGGTTATGGTTATATTTTATCGTTTTAGTACGCGCTCTTTTTTGATAACATGTTATGCTGTTTCGTTTTCAAATATACAAAATATACAGTCCACATTCGACAGAAAAACCTCATGTTCTTTTTTACACCCATTTACATTTTCTATATACATTAATGGTCCTTCGAGCCGGATACATCAGTTTTTACATCCATTCGCATCGACTCGTACACAAGTGCGTTCGATACCTGCAGAATTTCACAAGTAAATTTACATGCGGCACTCGATATGTTTAGTTCCGTACTTGTAGTTACGCTAGCGTAGTTATCGTTTCCTTCGCCTATAATACATTTGCATCGTGGTAATATACATACACAATGGATTTTAAGACGCTCAAAAACAAAGGCAGACTCATACTGAAAAAACGAGAGAAGCTGACCGAAGACGTGGTTAATCGTTATACAGATGAGGAAGCTCAACTTCAGTTGAACTTACTGGAAGATGCTTTCAGTAAGTACAACGAAGCCTACGATTTGAAAATAGTGGAAGCCAACGACGAGGAAATCGACAAGCTCATAAAGGATTTAGAAACGGTCAGTGACTACTATGTTAAAGCTAAAGGTAAATTAACAGGTCGGTTACATGAACGGACAGCTGCGACAAGCGTGTCTGAAAAAAGTGAAAACTCTAACAATACACTTAGACTGCCACCGATTAATATACCTACATTTGAGGGGGATTTCGATGATTGGTATCCATTTAAAGACCAATTTATCTCCATCATCCATTCTAACACCTCTATCGACTACACACGTAATATGTACTACCTCAAGTCGATCTTGAAAGTTTCAGCAGCTCAAATTATCGAATCAATGGCAACTATTGGGGACAATTACCTAGAAGCGTTTACACTCTTACTAAATAGGTACGACAACGAACGCCTAATTGTACAGAGCCATGTTCAACAACTACTGACACAAACCGTTCATCAAACGGAAACCGCCGTGGGCCTAAAGTCATTACTTGATAGCACAAACAAACATTTAAGAGCAATCTCAGTACTACATCAACCAGTAGACAAGTGGGATGCTATCATCATCGGCATCGTTGCGACACGTTTGCCTACAGAAGTAAGAAGATGTTGGGAAATCGAGTCTGCGTCTTATCCTGAAATACCTATATGGACAAAACTTAAGAGATTTATCGAGAATCGATTACAAGCCTTGAATATGTTACAATACAAACCAAGCACTGTAAGTAATGTTATCAATGCTGGTAAGACAAAACAGTTCGTTAGAACTACAGCGCATTTGGCGACTGATAGTCAAACCAACAATCAGTGTTCAATATGTGCACAGAACCACATCATTTACAAGTGCAATACGTTTATGAAATCAAAACCCAGTGAAAGATTGAGTTTAGCAAAAAAGGCAAAAATATGTTATAATTGTTTACGCACAACACATGGTGCGAATCAGTGCACAAATGAAAAGACTTGTAAAAACTGTGGTTTAAAACACCATACATTATTACATTTGGACATAAAAAAGGTCAATACAAAAGAGGGTGAAAATACTTCAAGTGACCAGGAAAAGGAGCATGGGTTTCAAAGTACAACATCTCATCTTGGAGCGGCATACCCTACCACATCTCAGAATGTCATATTATCAACAGTATTAGTACATGTGAGTGGCAAGAATGGCCGTACAGTGTTATTCCGAGCACTCCTAGATTCTGGATCACAATCACATTTTATCTTTGATAACGGAACTAGGTATTAACAGAACAAAAACACGTGTGATCGTCAACGGTATCTCTTCAGCAGAGACGACTGTCACCGAGATGGCCGAGTGCACAGTGACGTCACGCTTAAACCACAAGCAGTATCAAATTACTGGCTTGGTAACACCTTGTATTACTGTTAACCTACCTGTCGACAAACTATACACATCAAACTGGCATCATTTACAAGGCATACAATTGGCTGACCCTACATTCTATTTACCAGGAAAAATTGACATTCTGATAGGAGCTGAATTCTTTTATGACATTCTACAAGATGGCAAACATGTTGGACCAAAGGGTACTCCTATATTACAGAATTCAAGGTTTGGTTGGATCGTGGCGGGTTGCAGTAACAACATAATAAAAGATGATCTCGCACATATACTACAAATGTTATCACATGTTGTACCACGTATCAGCAACTAGAAAAACAAATTGAAAATTTCTGGAATATAGAAGGAGTGCCTAGAGTGACAATTATGTCAAAGGAAGATAAACTCTGTGAAGACCACTTTCTTAAAACATTTAAACGCAACGAAAATGGACGTTATGTTGTTCGATTGCCGTTTAAGGAGACTCCACATTCTATGAACAGTTCATATGACGTTGCTGTACGAAGACTAGCTCAGGTGGAGAGGTCTCTTATCAGAAATCCGTCGGTGAACAACCAGTATCGTGAGTTCATGATTGACTATCTTCGACAAAATCACATGGAACTTGTGCAACCCACTGAAGACAGTCCGGTTATCTTTCTACCTCATCATCATGTTTCACGTCAAGCGTCACTGCCAAATTGAGAGTCGTGTTCGATGGATCTGCTCTCATCTGTAATGGAAAATCATTAAACGACATGTTGCATCGAGGTCCTAAGCTACAACGAGACATTGTAAGAATTATCACTAGATTTCGAATGCACCGATATGTTTATACTGCTGACATACGTCAGATGTTTCGACAAATTAATATACACTCCGATGATCAGTGTTATCAAGGCATTGTGTGGCGAAATCACCCATCAGAACCAATAAAACAGTTCAAATTGAAGAATGTCACCTATGGTTTAATAACTTCTCCGTATCATGCTCTCCGTACATTAGCTCAACTAGCTGTTGATGAACAAGTGAATTATCCAGAAGGATCCACAATACTTAAGAATGACTTCTACGTTGATGAAGTCATGTCAGGATGTAACGACATCAATGATGCTAAAGCCCAAATACAGCAGTTGATTGACCTTCTTCATCAAGGTGGGTTTGATTTGAGAAAGTGGGCCAGCAATACACCAACCCTTTTAGAAAATATTCCAGCTGAACACCAAACGTTGCAGATTTCAATGCCCGAACAAAACAGTGTGTCTGTGTTGGGAGTTTCATGGAACACTACAAGAGATACCTTTTCATTTAAAGTTGAACCTCTACCATGTTTGGAACGCATCACTAAACTCGAATTATTAAGTGAAATTGCCCGCACTTATGTCCCATGTGGATGGCTGGCGCCACTTATAGTCGTCGCCAAGATACTCATGTAACATAGGTAATACTCACCTACAACTGTGGCAGACTGGTACCGAGTGGGATGATCCTGTGCCAAACCAACTACTTGAACATTGGATCGCTCATCGATCATCATACGAACATTTACAACGATTTGAAATCCCACGCCATGTTGGTGACATCTTAGATTTCCAACAGGGTTGCATCTTACATGGATTCTCCGACAGCTCTGAACGTGCCTATGCAGCTGCTATCTATATCGTTTCAAATGGCACTGGACATTTATTGGTGTCAAAAACAAGGGTTGCACCATTAAAAAGGATTACTATACCTAGACTGGAATTATGTGGTGCTACACTATTAGCACAACTGATGCACTCATTGATGGAATCACTCCAATTAAAAATTGATACAATAACAATGTGGACAGACTCCACAGTCACATTACATTGGATACAAAGTGACGCCAACAAATGGACCACTTTTATATCCAACCGAGTTAGCCAAATACAATCATTAGTTCCGAGAGCTGAATGGCGACATGTACGTTCTGCAGACAACCCTGCTGACCTGGCATCCAGAGGAGCTTCTGGTGATCAACTCGTAAATGACCATTTGTGGTGGCATGGACCCAGCTGGCTGTCTGAAAAGGATAAGTGGCCAGATTTCAATTCAAAAACTACAACGGCTTCAGATGCAACTGAAGAGTTAAAACATCTACCTACTATCACTGTATCACTGTTGAGCAATATTGATCCAATAGGGCAAGACCTATTGATGAAATGCTCAAATTACGAACGCCTCAACCGCATCGCTGCTTACATCTATCGATTCTGTTACAATTGCAAAACACCAAGGCGGCTATCAGGACATATTACTATGCCAGAATATAAACAAGGAGTACTTTTCTGGATCCGTATCGCACAACTCTCTGTATTTAGCGATGAAATGAAACGAATCAAGTCATCCAAACCAGTTGCGACTAATAGTGTGTTAGCCTTGTCCTAGTCTTGATCCTTTCATTGATAATGAAGGTTTGCTACGCGTTGGTGGAAGACTTCGGTATGCTAACATATCCTATGGTCAGAAGTATCCGATTTTGTTACCTAAAAATCATCCATATGTATATTTAATTATAAAACATGTTCACTTATATTACTTACATTCTAGCCTTGAAGTAACTATGTCAGTGATTCGACAAAAATATTGGTTGATTCACTGTCGCAGCACCATCAAGAAAGTTATACATGACTGTATACCATGTGTACGTTCTCAAAAGGAACTGTGTCAACAAATCATGGCTGATCTCCCTGCAGCTCGTGTTACCATGGCTCCTGTTTTCGCTCGAGTGGGAGTTGACTTTGCTGGGCCAATAACTACCAAACCTGTTGGAGTACGTACACGCACGGTTACAAAGTCATACATTGCTCTATTTGTATGTATGACAACAAAATCTATACACCTGGAAGTGGTGAGTGACTTAACTACAGAAGGATTTATTGCCACTCTAAAACGCTTTGTTAGTCGTCGTGGGTGTCCAACTGATATCTATTCTGACAACGGCACTAACTTTGTGGGTGCAAATAATAAATTAAAGGTTCTGTATAACTGTCTTTCCAATAATGAATTTCAAAAATCAATAACTACACATTGTGTTTCTAATAACATAAATTGGCATTTCAACCCACCAGCATCCCCACATCATGGTGGTTTATGGGAGGCTAATATAAAGAGTACTAAAGTCATTCTCTATAAAAACATGGGAAACATTGTATTTACCTTTGAAGAACTTAATACAGTATGTTGTCAAATAGAAGCTATATTGAATAGTCGACCTTTGTGTGCACTTGATGACGGTACTGTGTTGACACCAGGCCACTTCATTATTGGACGTTCACTGTTAGCTGTTCCTGAAGACGACATCGAGCCTATTGTCAACCATCGAAAGCGCTGGAACATTTTACAAAGAATCACCCAGACTTATTGGAAACAGTGGTCAAATACTTATCTAAATAATCTGCAACAACGATCCAAATGGCGCAAACCTCAAGATGATTTGGCTGTAGGCGATATAGTCATACTACGTGACACTGGAACACCTTCTACTCAATGGCCCATGGCGCGTGTAGTGGAAGTGTTTACCGATCCTGCGGACAATCATGTACGAGTCGTACGCATACGCACCTCAAAAACTGAACTCATACGTCCTATTACAAAACTAGTCAAACTTCCTATTGAACATTGAGTTCCTACATTTATATTAAATATTATGTTTTTGTTAATTTTTTTTAAGCTCATTTATAATTTTCATATGTTATTGTTTTGAGACTATTGCTCAAGGTGGGCGGTGTTTGATAAAACTTTGTTGTTATCATATCTTATCATGTACCTTTATATCAGTTTATTAACCATGTTATATTTTAAGGTTATGGTTATATTTTATCGTTTTAGTACGCGCTCTTTTTTGATAACATGTTATGCTGTTTCGTTTTCAAATATACAAAATATACAGTCCACATTCGACAGAAAAACCTCATGTTCTTTTTTACACTTATTTACATTTTCAATATACACTGATAAATAATCGTATTGTTACATAAAATAATGTACACACTAAAAAGTAATTGATAATATAAAATAATTAATAATATTGTTGTTGAGAATATAAAGTAGTTAAGTGTTATCTGTGACAATTAGTATATTATATCATTGATTATAAATACGTTTATATATATATATATATATATATATATATAAATAATATAAGTATTTATAATCAATGATTCTGTGGCGTTCGCGTCGTTGTCACGATCGAACACCAACGTTTAAATAATAAGTAGGCACGCGTATGACGTATAAGGTGCGCGATGCGCGGTTTATTTAAGACAAACAATTACACTTTACAAATATTAGGCGAACAGATCGAGTCGATCGGTGCTCGGAGGTGAGCGGCTGGTCACGTGCGTTTTGCGTCGAAAGAGAGCGAGGCGAGCGAGCGAACTACGCGAGCGGCGAAAATGAAAGCGTGGTTTTTTTTAATTACTTTTTCTTAAGACTTACGGACGTGCGTGCGGAGCAACGGTAAAAACGAGTGAGAGGCGGGTCGGCCGCCGCAACCAAGCGGAGGCCGCCGTTGGGCGCGATCGCAATGTGACCAACCGTTGAACAATAGCAAAGATATACGATACTACCGACGGCAGAGGGAGGTCATGTGGCATTGGTCCGCCACAATTCTAATATGTAGGTGCAGTTCAAATAGCTTGGCAACGGTCATTAGACTAATTGCAATAAATCTGTTTTTCAGTACCAATTAGTGTAATGACTTGCCAATTTTTTTAATATTAGCAGCAACATATTAATAAAAATAATAGTAGTGTGATAAATGTTACTATACATGAGAGTATTAATAAATAATTTTTTTTCATATGATAAGATGTGTTCCAACTTCCAAGCTATTAGCTACGTGCTATATAGATAAACAATTAAGGTATGACTGTTATCTATAGTGTTAGTTGGAATAGTCTATATCAATCGTTGATCGACAAACGGCGTGCCGACACTATAATATTTTAGTTATCGATTTAAACCAATAATTGATCATACTCAGAGATAAAGACCTAACAACTATATAATATTAAATATATGTGTATTATCATCTATAGACAGTAATATATAATAATAAAATTAATACACAATAAGTATAATCAAATGTAATAATATGTATAATAATTGAAATACTACAGTCACAGTTAACCAACCATCATATCATAAGCACATACAACAAAAGAGTATTTACCTACACACGGTATTGACAGTAAAAAATAAAAACTTCAATGTATTGTAGGTATTTTACAGTACGAACACAATGTTACATAGTTAAAAGGTAATTACAATTGCGATTGAACAAATAGATAGTGATACGACATGTTACAAAATGTTGAGGTTAATTTAATTTGACTAATTTTAATACTGATACTTAAGAAACAAAATACAAAGGAAAATCATACTGTTATAATATAGAACATTGACAGTCGTCCATAGACATTGAAGTACGGATATAAGGTTATACAATAACCAGATAGATGTTTGATAAGTACATAAAACAATTTACCTACGCACGGTAAAGACATTAAAAAATAAAAAATTCAACGTGTTGTAGGTATTTTACAGTACGAACACAATGTTACATAGTTATAAGGTAATTACAATGCGATTGAACAAATAGGTAATGATACGGCATGTTACAAATATAGCAATTTCTATTATATAGTACTTCGACAGTCGTCCATAGACATTGAAGTACGAATATAAGGTTAAACAATAACATAATTCATCGTTTAAGTTAAATACAGCGACAATATTTACAGTGATCACAGAATTAAATTTGTCTTTTTTGATAATATAAGGTTTAACAATAAGAAGTAAAACAAATACATACATTTGGTTATACATTATAAGCATTTGTCATTTTGTTGGGGGTCATTTAAAAAATGTTTCTAAGGGTTTTCAGTTGTGGTTAACATGAATGAAACACAGAGGGAGAACTGAACCAATAATATCACTAGTGTTTGAAAATTTCATGAAATTTAAAAAAATGAAATATTTCGTGAAATATTTCATGAAATATTTCAAAATATGTGAAATATTTCAGTATATTAATATATTTTGTTTTATTTTTAAATAAGTTTTATATTTACATATAATTGTCATAAATTACCTTCATCACTATATGGTACCTGTATGTATACCTAACCTTTGGTATTATACATTTAAATTGGTATTCAAAATTTTTAAATATTTTAAAGTTTAAATGATACAATTAGGTATACAATATTATACATGTATATTGTATACTTACTGAATTCTGACATTAGAATTTAGAACACTGAACATTGTGTTAAAAAAATAAATAAATTGTGTTTTTATTTGTGTTAAAAAAAATTTCAATGTTTCACGTTTTTGTGAAATATTTCACAACTTAGTGAAATATTTCAAAATGAAATATTTCATTTGAAATATTTCATGAAATATTTCTCATACTTCAAACACTAAATATCACTGTTGAAGGTAGCAGTGCAGTGCTGTGTTGGCCATGTACATGAAGTTGGCCCCCCCACTTTGTCCGAATGACTTCAAAATACCACCAAATAATTGCAAATTAATTGCAAATAATTGCAAATCGAGTTTCATTAATTGCAAATCACCCAGTTTTGAGTAAACTCAAAATCAAAATTGGGGGGGCCAACTTCATGTAGCCCCCCCACTTTGTCCGATTCGTTTCAAAATACCGGTAAATAATTGCAAATTAATTGCAACTAATTGCAAATCGAGTTTGGCTAATTGCAAATCATTTTTTGTATTTTTTACGAATTTTTCAATTTTTTAGCCAGCCCCCCCCCCCACTTTGTCCGATTCGTTTCAAAATACCGCCAAATAATTGCAAATTAATTGCAACTAATTGCAAATCGAGTTTGGCTAATTGCAAATCATTTTTTATATTTTTTACGAATTTTTCATTTTTTTTAGCCAGCCCTCCCCCACTTTGTCTGATTCGTTTCAAAATACCGCCAAATAATTGCAAATTAATTGCAACTTATTGCAAATCGAGTTTGGCTAATTGCAAATCATTTTTTATATTTTTTACGAATTTTTCAATTTTTTAGCCAGCCCTCCCCCACTTTGTCTGATTCGTTTCAAAATACCGCCAAATAATTGCAAATTAATTGCAACTAATTGCAAATCGAGTTTGGCTAATTGCAAATCATTTTTTGTATTTTTTACGAATTTTTCAATTTTTTAGCCAGCCTCCTCCCCCGCTTGGTCCAATCTATCTATTTGTTATCTTAGAAAACATACTTACTTACCTAGACACATTTTATTTAAATCATATTAATATTTTTTTTTATTAAAATTGCTTTATCAGAACACTATCCAATTAGTACATATTATTACTAAATGACTGCATGCACCTATTAACTATTAGTTACTTTATGTTCAAGTAGGTAAAG